ACTTCGTTGCGTGTTGATTATGGATCCAAGTAAATTGAAATCCCTAACTTCAATCTTTTCTCCATTTAATGTGATGTTGCTTATTGGTCCAGTTGGGAGGACTTTCATTTTTGTTTTCTTTACGTTGAGGTGTAATCCATACAGAAGACTGTAGTCTTTGATCTTTATCAGTAAGTGCTTCAAGTCATCTTCACTTTTAGCAAGCAAGGCAGTGTCATCTGCATATTGCAGGTTGTTAATGAGTCTTCCTCCAATCCCGATGCTGCATTCTTCTTCATATAGTCCAGCATCTTGGATTATTTGCTCAGCATACAGAGTGAATAAATACTCTGATGCACACTTTTCCTGATTTTAAACCTTGCAATATCCTCTTGTTCTGTTTGAATAGCAGTCTTTTTTACAGGTTTCTCATGAGCACAATCAAATGTTTTGGAATTCCCTTAAAAAGTTGGAATTAGAAATCCCATTTGAAATCCCATTACTAGGTATATATCCTAAAGAAGTGAGAGCCAGGACAAGAACAGATACATGCACATCCATGTTCATTGCAGCACTATTTACAACAGCAGAAAGATGGAAACAACCTATGTGCCCATCAACAGAAGAATGGATAACCAAACTATGGTACATACACATGATGGAATACTATGCAACAGTTAAGAATAACATAGAATCTGCAAAATACTGCATAATGTGGATGAACTTGGAGGACATTATGCTGTGTGAAATTAGTCAATCACAGAGGGACAAATACTGTATTAGTTCATTATTGTAAAAAGTCAAGAAAAGGTTTACATATGGAAGGAAACTTTCTTTCTTGGTTATCAGGGGTGGGAGGGGAGGGGAAGGAACACTGCAAAAAAAAAAAAAAAAATTTAAAAAGAGGGAAATTCCTAAAAAAGTGTTTTGGAATTCCCATTCTTCACAATGTTATCCATAATTTGTTATGATTCACACAGTCAAATGCATTTACATAGTCAATAAAACACAGGTAAACATCTTTCTGGTATTCTTTACTTTCAGCCAAGATTCAACTGACATCAGGAATGATATCACTCATTCCACGTCCTCTTCTGAATCCAGCTTGAATTATCAGAAATTCTTGTCAATATACTGCTAAAACCATTTTAAAATTTTCAGCAAAATTTTGCTTGTGTGTGATACTAATATTGTTTGATAATTTCCACATTCTATTGGACTGCCTTTTTGAAATGGGCACAACTATCAATCTCTTTCAGTCAGTTGGCCAGGTAGCTGTCTTCCAAATTTCTTGGCATAAATGAGTAAGTGCCTCCAGTACTGCATCTGTTTGTTGAAATATCTCAATTAGTATTCCATGAATTCCTTGAGCCTTGTTTTTCATCAGTTCCTTCAGTGTGGCTTGGACTCCTTCCTTCCATACTAAATCTTGATCATATTCTACCTCCTGAAATGGTTGAATGTTGACCAATTCTTTTGAGTACATTGACTCTGTGTATTCCTTCCATCTTCTTTTGGTGTTTCCTGAATCATCCAATATTTTGTTCTTAGAATCTGTCAACATTGCAATTTGAGGCTTGAATTTTTCTTTCAGTTCTTTTCAGCTTGAGAAATGCTAAGCATGTCTTCTCTTTTGGTTTTCTAACTCCAGTTCTTTGCACATTTCATTATAATACTTTGTCTTCTCAAGCTGTCCTTTGAAATCTTCTGTTCAGGTGTTTTACCTCTTCATTTCTTCCATTTGTTTTAGCTGTTCTCTATTCAAGAGCAAGGTTCAGAGTCTCTTCTGACAACCACTGTTGTCAGAAGAACCATTGTTGTCTTTTTTTCCTTTCTTGTCTTTTCAATGACTTGTGCTTTCTTTATGTATTACGTTCTTGATGTCATCCTACAACTTGTCTGGTCTTTGGTCATTGGTGTTCAATGGGTCAAATCCATTCTTCAGATGGTTTCTAAATTCATATTGGACATAATCAAGGTCATATTTTGGCTCTCACAAACTTATTTTAATTTTCTTCAGCTTCAACTTGAACTTCTACATGAGCAATTGATGGTCACCTAGTAGTCAAGAAAATCAAACAATGTATCGTGTCGAGCAAATTTGGTGTTAGGAACCTCTTTAAAGAGTTAAAAAGCAAAGATGTCACTTTAGGATTAAGGTGTGCCTGACCCAAGCCATAGTATTTTCAATCACCTCAAGTTGCATACGAAAACAGGACAATGAATAAGGAAGACCTAAGAAGAATTGATGCCTTGGAATTGTGGTGTCGGCAAAGGATTTTTAACATACCATGGACTGCCAGAAGAATGAGCAAATCTATCTTGGAAGACGTACAACCACAATGTAACTTACAAGTGGAGATGGAGAGACTTCGTCTCATGTACTTTGGACATGTTATCGGGAGGAACCAGTCCCTGAAGAAGAAGATCATGCTTGCTAAGGATCAATGAAAAAGATGAAGACTCTCAACGAGATGGATTGACTCAGTGGCTGCAACAATGGGCTCAAACATAGCAACGATTATGACGATGGTGCAGGACCAGGCACCATGTTTTGTGTTTTGTTCTGTTGTATATGGGGTTGCTATGAGTTGGAAATGATTTGACAATTAACAACAATTGTTTAGAATTAACCAGTATACTTTCAAAAATATTTGGAAGTTTGAAAGCGCAGAGTCTGTCACCGGAATAAGCACTGGACACTATTTATTAGGTTTAAGGCCTAAAGAAATCTGAAAGTCATAAGTAAACAGGTAGTTTAAAGAAAAAATTAGACTTGTAACAATTAGTTATCACATAGTATTTATTTCATCTACAGACAGATAAAATGCAAGATAAGATATCCGTCAAGGAACTTGCACTCTAGTTAGGAAGATCATAGAATGCCTGCCACATTATCATTTAAGCATGTTTGTGGGGTTGCACTTTAATGTTCATTGTTCCTGCTGGTTCTTCTCAACTACCTACCATCAAGTTGATTCTGACTTGTATCAACCCCTATAGGGTTTTTAAGGCTGTATATCTTTATGGAAGCAGACTGCCTCATCTTTCTTCCATGGAGTGACTGGTGGTTTCAAACCAGCAGTCCTTTGATTGGCAGCCAAATGCCTTAACCACTGCATCACTAGACCTCTGTTTTTTTTTTTTTCCTTATCCTAAGAACATGGGGAAAATAGAATCGAGGAGATATGGATGAGAAAGAAGGGGAATGTGGCTAAGAAACAATAAGACTCTTAATGTATGCAGGCCAAACTTAAAGCTATATATCCATAGTTTTAAAGATGAGGACTCCAACTTTTATCTAGTTAACCCTCTTATTCTGCAGACAAGGAAATTGAGGCCTGTTCGGCAAAGTTCCCTAGGTAGGTAGTGGCAGACAAGGAAACTTGTCCTACAAAATTCCCCAGCTGATAAGTGGCAGGACTAAGACTAGAATCTTCCTTGACACCCAGTGTAGCATCCTTTCTGCAAAGACACTTTCAAATAAAGTGTCCTTGAGGGTAAGATAAAATGGTTGGAGTTTCCTTATACCTGGGTCTATTCTAAAACACTTTTGTTTTCCTTTTGATGGTTAGATGGTTTTTTAAATTATTTGATTACCTACATCCATAATTCTTTTTTAGCATGAGAATCTTCATGCATCTAATTTTTTGGTTATGGAAATAGAAACTGTTAATGCTATATAAGTCTATCAAAGAGAAAATACAATAATTAATCTGAATAACGTATTAGAACGTCATATTTTTAACCGATCTTCATCAATCCCTCCACTTTCATGTCTTTAACCTATGTGATTATTTGCAAATTTTATATTTTGCTCCTGCCCTCTTTTCTGAATTTGTTTCATATTTCAATGGTTGTATCTTTACCTGTTTTCCTCTCATGACCTCAAACTGAACAGGAAGCCAGCCAGCTTCTCCTTCACACATCACTATTTCTGTCAATGACACCATCATTCTTCCAGTCACCCAGTTTTGATCTTGGCATCATCTCTGGTTCTTCTTGTCTTCCACATCTATTGGGTCACCAATTTCAGTGGCTTCTTTCTGGAAAATGTCTCTCAACTCTATTTTTCTTTTTAAATCTCATTTTGTACACTCTAACCCAGGCTCTCAAAATCTCCTAACCAGGATGTGACAATATCTAACACTCATCCGCCAGTTTTGTGCTAGCAACCCATCATACAATCATTGTGGGACTACTCTAAAACACCATAAAACAAAAATTTTACTCTTTTGATTCTAACTTTCCACAGTTCCCTTGTGTGCAGAGAGTAAAATTCAAATTCAAAACCCCGAATAATGTGACCCATACCTTTGCAACCTCACCTCACACTTTTCTCCACAGAACCATACTCCCCAATCAATAACCATTTTTCTTCCCAATACCCATTTCCACCATTTGACTACACCTGGAATGGATTCTAGTTTCCTCATCTGAATTCTGTTCTGTTAAAGCCACCAACCGGGGTACGAGACTATGAGCCCTCCTCAACATTCCAGAAAGTACCTACTGGTGGTTCTACTGAGGCAGCCTTTAGCCGTGTTTCCTCAGAAATATCTTTGTATGCCTATTCCCTTCCCAACTAATATTTAACTTCCGTAAGCAGTTTCCTTTGTCTTTCTATCGCCTCGACTATCCTCAGAATAAAGTTGATGAGGAATAAGTTGATGAACAGGTGGTGTTACTACCAAAAAGATGTTACGGGACAGAGGGGCAAAGAGGTTACTCTGCTCCTCTTCCCCGTTCTCGCATGATATGACAGGTGCCCTTTGAGGGCAAGCATGTCCCCCTGAAAGCTTCCTGGGAGGCGCGCAGACACCCTGCGTGGCTTCCTGGCAGACAGCAGCCCTTGGAGGTGCAGGCCCAGGAGGCTGGAACGCATTCCCCACGCCCCGCTCGCTGGCGCGTCTGAGAGACTGCCGGGCGAGGGCAGAGAGGCTCGGCTCGGCCGTTCTGCTGTCAGAGGTAGGTGGTGCTGTTGCGGTGACTGTCTTCCTCATTGGCGCCCGGCGGAGAGGCGGAATGTTCAACTCCTGATCCGGCGGAAGCGTGGGAGCCGCACCGGCTGCTGTCCTCCCGACCCCCCGCCGTTACCGCCGCCGCCGCCCTCGCCTCGTGCGGGGCCTCTGCGCCCCCGGCTGCTGCTCGCGCCTCGCCCGGGAGCCAGGTAAGGGGCCAGGCTGGCGGCCGCGGAGTGCTAGGAGAGGGGGTAGAGAGGGAGGCCCGCTGCGCTTGTGAGCCGCCCCGGTGTCTCTGGCCGAGGCCCTGTCAGGGGCTGGAGTCCAGCGAGCCTGGGGGCGCCCCACAGGGCACCCCTTTTCGGGCCGGGAGCCGCCCTGGCGGTGGCGGCCTGAGCGAGCGTTCCCGGCTCTCGCGGAGTTCAATGTCGGACCTCAGCCGCGCTGCGGCCAAGTGCTGCTGGGAGAAGTTCGGGGCCGACCCACCGAGAAGTTGGCGCCGGAAGAGCGGGACGCAGTCCTGGGCGTCCCAGGCTTTCTTGGCCCTGAGAGTGCAGCGCGGTTGTGGGGAGCCTCTCCTCTCTGGTCTCGGTTTCCATCGCAGAACGCGAGGCCTGGCTTTGCATTGGGGTCACTGGGATCTCTCTCGAGAGGCGAAATGCGAGCCTCCCAAATCAGAGCAGGATGCAGACCACTTTGTGTCAGAGGTCTGTGCGTGCGAGGAGAGGCGCCTAACTTCTGTTTTCTACCGGACTCGGCCTAGAGCGGTATTCCCCCACTGAGAGCGACCGCTCCCTGCCCTTCCTGCAGCTTTCTTGAGCAACTTGGAGCTCGCGACCGCCGGTACAGTCGAAGCTTCTCCCTTTTACTTCCACTGGAGCGGAGGAGGTCCCTTAGATTGACCCTTCGGCGGCCCTGGTTTCTTGCACTTTGAGACCTGCAGCAGGCTCAGAGGCTAATGCGGAGGCGGCAGCTCTACCTCGCTTGCTTCGGACAGCTTTTGTAAAAACTTTAAAACTGGCTGGATGACACTGAATTGCCTGCAAAATGGGACACTGTTGTTAAATTAAGGTGCTCTGGTCGTGTAGTGGGTAAAGCATTCGGCTGCTAACCAAAAAGTTCAGTGGTTAGAACCCACTAGCCGCTCCGTGGGAGAAGGATGAGGCAGTCCGGGTTCCGTGAAGATTTACAGCCTTGGAAAGCCTTTGGGGTTCGCTATGAGTCCGAATCAAGTTAATGGCAGTGGATTTGGTGTTGGATTGTTAGATTGCCAAAATGTAGGTTACTGATGCTCCTTGAAATCTCCCGTAGGCACTGTTTTAGGGAACTAAATTACTATTTATGTTAGTTTCTTTCCAATGAAAACAACACATTTAGTGGCGTATTCCAGTGGTATTAACAGTAAACAACTCGGCAATAATGGTGTATTAGAATTGTCTTACAGAATTAATTCGAGGATATTTGAGTTAAAAATTGTTAAAGTGGACTCCTGTATTTACTCTGGAGCTGTTGTAGAGAGCCTTCTGGCTTTCCTGACTTCAGCTAAAGTGAACAGCCAGGATTCAGTCGGTGCATACCTACAACATTTTAAGACAAGAATAGACAAGTGATTCGAGGCCAGTTAATGTCGTCTTTTTAAATGGGCCCATCTCCACAATGATTTTCAAAAAAAAATATGTGATATGGTTTTAGTCATTTGTAGAGCTTTTGTTCAAATTCCTGCTACAATAGTGAGAGAGTTGGAAGATTATAAGTGAGTATGAATTTAGTTTGGAGAGAGAACTCAAAGAAAAATAGTCTTTTGGAACAGAGTGCGCTGTTTATTTTAATCTTTCCCAATCCAATTCCTATTTTTTGGAATTATTTTGGGCGTTTTTGTTATTTTCCAGACTGGAAAATAATGTTTAAATCCAAAGCTTTAGCAGTTATAATTCCGTGTACATGACCGCAATGCAGTGACAAGGACATTTTTCCTTGCCTAGGAAAGCAAATAGGTGGTTGATCTCCTTTTCTTAAGTATTTTAGGGAACACATAGGACACATTAAAGAGAGAGATAATAATACCCAAATATTAAGCACAAGGATTTGGATCTAAAAATGGATAGTCAAAGATCTTGGGAACTGAGGGACCTTCTTGCCAAATAAGGAAACTTGGCAAGTTGCACTGTGTATTTTAAGTTAGCACAAGAGTAAGTGTTATTGGCAATACATTGGCTGAGTGCCTATCAGGAATGTGCAGTGAAACTGACTGTGATAGGGCTACAGAACTGTAAACTGAAGTTATGAGAGGCGCGAAGTGAATAATCGAGTCATCAGAGAAAACACTCCAGAAATTACAATCATGTTTCATGAAAAAAGGTTGGACAACATAAAGTCAAGCTATTAGCGTGGAGTGAAAGCAAATGGACAGTTGATTCCAGAAATTGATAGATTCAGAAAAGAAAAAGAGAATCATTGTTATTTTTTTTCCTCCTCCAAACGAGAAAAGATGCTTGGTGATACGGTATTTCTTAGAATAAGATATCTTTATGCCTGTATCCTGAGATGTAGGAAATAAAAATCAATTTGGATCATTTGTTTTTCATTTTATTCTACCCAGGACAGATTGACAAGGAAGGTATCTTGTCTATCTAAATGTAATAGGAACAGCTAAGGCACCTTTTGGTCTTACTGCAGGGAAGATTTAGGCTACTGTCTTGTGGCTATTAACCTTGGCCCACTACACACAAACCAGCAGAGTTCCAGCTGTGACCAGAAAAGTGTACCTGTTAAGGGAAGAGAGCTATAAATGCTAGAGTTTAGATTGCTTTGACTGATACGTAGGTGCTTTTGTGTGAAACCCTTCTATAGACAGCAGAAGCATCGATTATGCCCTAAAAGCAGTTAAATAATCCGAACACTGTAGAAGATTCTGTGGGAACAAAGCAGCCACGCATTTCACACCTTAACCCCAGCATCACAATTGCTAATAGGACATTAAAGCCTCAAATTGAATCTAGGTGAATGGTAAGCAATCTAGTAATTACCGTGATAAGTGAGAGTCCAATTAAAGCAGGGAAGAAGGGCAAATTAGAAGGACAAGGCAGAAAGAGACAGGATGTGGAAGAAAAGTGTTATGACTTTGGAGTCACACCTTTGTTTGAATCCCACCTGTACCATTTGCATTGTTGTTGTTATGTGCTATCAATGTTGTCGAGTCGTACCTGACTCATAGTGACCCCCTGCTTGGGTTTCCGAGCCCGTATCACTGCAGAAGTAGATCGCCCAGCCTTTCTTCCAAGGAGTGGCTGGTGGATTTGAACCACCAGCCTTCTGGTTAGCAGTCAAGTGCCTTAGGTACTATGCTACCAGAGGTCCCACCATTTGCATAGTATGCATTATTATTGCATATGTTAATATTGAATATTAAACCCCTGATCCTTAGTTTTCTCACATGTAAATTGGGAACAGTAATAGATGCTCTCTAGCTGCTCTCTAAGGGTAGACATGGGAGCTCTGGTAGCATAGTGCCTAAGGCACTTGACTGCTAACCAGAAGGCTGGCGGTTCAAACCCACCAGCCACTCCTCGGAAGGAAGATGGGGCAATCTACTTCCGTAGGGATACTGCCTCGGAAACCCAAGGAGGGGTCGCTATGAGTTGGGTCTGACTCCATGGCACATAACAACAACAACAACAAGGGTAGACATATGAGACAGCACTTGGAAATGCTTGAACTAATGCCTGAAACTTCAGCAACCATAACTTAATGGTAGAGAAGCCTGGGTTTCCACATTTCTCACATGATACACAGGGAAAGCTGCTTGTCTTGCCTCTATCCAGCTAGGGCTTGCTCTTGGTAGCCTGCCTTATCCCCAGATCATACTCTGTGTGTATGTAGGAGGTGGGAGCTTTTCATAGTTACCCTCCTGATTTAGTTATAAGGGTTTCTAAAGTGGTTCTGTGTACCTCAGTGTTTATATACAGCTTTGTAATATTCTTAGAGAAGTATCTGAACATGGATGCATTTAAATATCTAGATGAAGAATTTGGAAGTTGTATGAATAGGTGAAAGTGCTTGGAGCTATTCTTAAAGCTGATTTTGAGCACTGCTTGTCTCACCCTATTTTCTGGACTCATGTTGGGGCTTTCATATGAGAAAACCAAAAAGTGAAGGAAAGAATCACTGTCCTGTGTGTCTGCTAAGATCTGAAGGTCATGGAGTAAATCTTTGCTTATTAAACTTTCCTACCAAAGTACTCTATTGTGAGGAAAGATGAATGTGTTCTTTCAGGGATCTGTAAGCATAAGTTTCAGTACCCCCATTGCAAGGAAGAATTCTCTTTAAAATCTCATTTTTTAGTCTTAAAAATTTCTATTGATTTTTTATTCTCTTTATTATTTTACTTTATTGAACAAGCCAGTGAAAACAGACATTAAACATGTTTATTCCCCTAAATCCTAAAGTAAAATTGATGCTGAAGGATATATGTTTATTCTTCTACCTTTTGTATATTGCTGTATATACTCCAAGGAGCTCGGTGGTGCTGTAGTTAAAGCATTGGGCTCTAACTACAAGGACCATGGTTTGAATCTACCAGCTGCTCTGCAGGAGAAAGGTGAGGCAGTCTTCTTCCATAAAGATTTACAGCCTTGGAAACCCCATGGATCAGTTCTACTCTATCCTATAGGGTTGCTGTGAGTTGGAATTGACTTGATGGGAGTGGGTTTGATTTTGATTGGTATATACTCTTCAGTATGGGAATACTCATGTTTGAGGAACATAGGATTGGTTCTGATAAATGATACTACATTGTTAAGCATTGCAGCACACTGCAGAGGTAATGCAATTCTATTTCATGTAGAAAAGAATAGGTAAATCCAGATCATAATCCAAAGATTTTATTGTAGTGGTTATATAGTGACTTTCAAGGTGAAGACAGTGCTTTGCTTTGGGGGGGGTGGAGGTTTGTAGGATGGAGATCTGGAATGTAACTTACTTTCCCAGCCAGTGTTGGCAGGAGACACTGGGAGGATGACCCTATCACAATCATTATTTGCATAACTGATACTTCACTGATACTGGTCACTGTACTCCTCCCATGGTATCAGGGGGGTTCTTAGTGTTAGGTTCATGGCTATATTCCTAAAGAGAAGAGGGAGACTGCACGTACTTTATACGAGGTTAGTTAGTCATGGCGTTCTTATAGGGCTGAAGTGGATCTTAAAAA